CTCCTGTGTTCCCAGAACCTCCTGTACCCCAGAACCTCCTGAACTCCAGAACCTCCTGAACCACAGAACCTCCTGTGCCCCCAGAACCTCCTGTGCTCCCAGAACCTCGTGAACCCCCAGCACCTCCTGTGCACCCAGAACCTCTTGAACCCCCAGAACCTCCTGTACCACAGAACCTCCTGTACCCCAGAACCTCCTGTACCCCCAGAACCTCCTGACCCCCCAGCACCTTCTGTGCCCCCAGAACCTGCTGTGCCCCCAGAACCTCCTGAACCTCCAGTGCTCCCAGAACCTCCTGAACCCCCAGAACCTTCTGTGCCCCCAGAACCTCCAGTGCTCCCAGAACCTCCTGAACCCCCAGCACCTTCTGTGCCCAGAACCTCCTGTGCCCCCAGAACCTCCTGAACCTCCAGAACCTCCAGTGCCCCAGAACCTCCTGAACCCCCAAAACCTCCAGTGCCCCCAGAACCTCCTGAATCCCCAGAACCTCCTGTGCCCCAGAATCTCCTAAACCCCCAGAACCTCCTAAACCCCCAGAACCTCCTGAACCCCCAGAACATTCTGTGCCCCTAGAACCTCCAGTGCCCCAGAACCTCCTGAACCCCCATAACCTCATGAACCCCAGAACCTCCAGTGCCCCAGAACCTCATGAACCCCAGAATCTCCAGTACCCAGAACCTCCTGAACCCCCAGAACCTCATGAACCCCAGAACCTCCAGTGCCTCAGAACCTCATGAACCCCAGAACCTCCTGAATCCCCAGAACCTCCTGTGCCTCAGAATCTCCTAAACCCCCAGAACCTCCTGTACCCCAGAACTTCATGAACCCCTAGAACCTTCTGTGCCCCAGAACCTCCAGTGCCCCCAGAACCTCATGAACCCCAGAACCTCATGAACCCCCAGAACCTCCAGTGCCTCCAGAACCTCCTGAATCCACAGAACCTCCTGAAGCCCCAGAACCTCCTGTATCCCAGAACCTCATGAACCCCAGAACCTCCTGAACCCCCAGAACCTCCTGTGCCCCAGAACCTCCTGAACCCCCAGAACCTCCTGAACCCCCAGAACCTCC